GGCAGCTGTCTTGAGGAATCTACACCCACTCCTAAGATGTCCTTACTAAGGCCCCCAACATTTTTTCATAAGAGGGGGTGGTGTTGGCTGGAATGGGGACTCAGCAGTTAAGAGTATTTGTTTTTCTTCCAGGGACCTGGTTTAAATTCCCAGCACCCAGATTAAATTCACAACCACCCCTCTGTAGATCCAAGTTCCAAGGAACCTAATTCCCTCAGGCATGCACAAGAGCACATACAAACAAGCAGCCAAAATACTCACAGATTAAAAATAAAATAGGGGCTGGAGAGATGGCTCATAACCAACCATTATGAGATCTGGTGTCCTCTTCTGGTATGCAGATATACATGGAAGCAGAATGTTGTATACATAATAAATAAAATCTTTAAAAAAATAAAAATAGGCCGGGCGTTGGTTGAAAAAAACCAAAAAAAAAATAATAATAATAAATAAAAAATAAAAACATTTTTTTTTTGTTTTTTTTCGAGACAGGGTTTCTCTGTGGCTTTGGAGGCTGTCCTGGAACTAACTCTTGTAGACCAGGCAAGTCTCAAACTCAAAGAGATCTGCCTGCCTCTGCCTCCCGAGTGCTGGGATTAAAGGCGTGCGCCACCACCACCCGGTGGAAAAAAATCTTAAAAACAAAACAAAATACTGGCAGATCTTACAGGGGACCCAGGTTTGATTCCCATCACCCATATGGCAACTAACAGCTGTCTGTAAGTCCAGTTCCAGGGGGTCAGACACCTTTTTATTGTTTGTTTTTTGAAACGGAATTTCTCTGTGTAGCTGTGTCTATCCTGGAATTCACTTGGAAGACCAGACTGACCTTGAACTCACAGATATCCACCTGCCTCTGCCTCCTGAGTGCTGGGAATAAAGGTGTGCGCCACCACCGCCGGATTATTTATTTATTTATTTATTTATTTATTTATTTATTTATTTTTTGATTCTTCAGTTACTACCTGCACCTGGTGCACAGGCAAACATGCAGACAATACATTCATATACACAGAAATAAAAAGAAATAAATCTTCAAAAAGTGGGGAGCAGGAGGAGCCAAGTGTGTATGATGGTATACGAGGAACGAGTTCAAGGCCATCCTGGACTGCATTAGGCCTGGAAAGAAAAAGAAAATGGGCTGGGGAGATGCCTAACCAGAGCAATTACTGCTTCTACGGAGGACCTGAGTCCACCTCGGTATCCATTCGGGGTGGTTTGTATGGCCAGTGACTGAAGAGACCAGAGTAGGTTGTGAGATCCCCTGGAACTGGAGTTACAGGTGGTTGTACCCATCACAGGGGTGTTGGGAATCAAACCAAGGTCTACAGGAAGACCAGCCACTGCTTCTAATCACTGAGACATCTTTCCATTCTCCATAAATATTTTTTAAACATAATTCTTAGGGCTCAAGAGATGAGTCAGTGGTTAAGAGCACTGGTTGTTCTTACAGAAGATCTGAATTTGATTCCTGGAACCCACATGGTAGCCTACAATAATCCCTAATTCCAGGTCCATCGAAGTCTGACTCCTCTTCTGACTTTCTTGGGCATCAGGCACACACATGGTGTACCAGGCACACATGCAGGAAAAACACTCATTCGCATAAAGTAAATCTAAAAAATTCATATGTTTAAAAAAGGAAGTCTTTAATAAAAAGAAAAAGATGAAAATTTGGTCTCCATTAATACTAATTGATGTTAGTTAGCATTCAGTATCAGTCAGGCATTGTTTAGGCTTTTGTTTATATCACATAATCTGAGCTAATATGAGATTTATGAGGTAAGCATTGTTATCACCACTTTACAAAAGAGGAAGTAGTTGGTCACAAAGGTCACATATTCAGTGTTGGTTCATCAGCTGGTGAGTGATGTAACAGAGGCAGGCAGAATTTGAGGCGAACGAGGCAGCACACTTTGTTTTTGAGATAGGATCCTCCTGTCTCCTGTGCAATGAGCAATTGCTCCTGAGCAATGAGGTTATGTGTGCGCACCAGAACACACAGTTTTTTATATGGGTGTGAGCTAGTACGTTCTGGGAATCTTCCTCTACCATGTCATGTGCTCTGCCCTCCCCCATGTGCTGGGGTTATTATGTACATGCCTGGCCCCACCCTTCTTCTTGTTTTTAAGAGGCATGGTCTCAGACAGAGGCAGACAGATAGCTGTGAGTTCAAGCAGCCTAGTTGGTCTATATATTGAATTCCATGCCAGCTACAGGTATGTAAAACAAAATGGGGGGAGGGAGGAGGGCTCACCAATAGATCAACGAGAGACTGAAAGTCTGAAGCTCTCCGTGTGTGTGTGTGTGTGTGTGTGTGTGTGTGTGTGTGTGTGTGTGTGTGTATCTGTGATCCTGCTCTATCCTGCCACATTCCCTTGAAACAAGGTCTCTCACCAAACCTGGAGCTACAATGGTAGCCTGTAAAACCAATGTTTCACTCTGTGCTCTCTACCAGAGCTGGGGGTATTGGGGTGTATGCAGCCATAACTGGCTTTTTACATGGGTGCTTGGGATCCGAACTCAGGAGCTTATATATGCACAGCAAGCACTCTTACCCACTGAGCCATCTCTCCAGCCTGTGTGTGTGGGCTCCCCCAGCCTCTACCTGGGGAGGCCTCATGTAGTCCAGACCAAAGATGACCTTGAGCTTCCAGTTCTCTTGCCTCTGCCTCTGGAATGTTGGGATTACAGACAATGCTTTTGTCTTGTTTTTGAGACAGATCTCACTACGTAGCCCATGTTGGCCTGGGACTGGAGATTCCCCAGTTATGCATGCCACCACACCTGACTTGGTTGTGCTTTATCACTTCCTGCACACTAGTTTCCACCCCTTGACTTCTGCTGCTTTCCCTAGCCCCACCCAGCCTCTCCGCCCTCTGTCAGGTTCCTTCACTAGTGGGCTGTGTCCCCGTCTCTCTGCCAGAATGTCCCAGCTCCATTCCAACACCTGCCCTTTTGGTTACAATTCTGACCATGTAATCTATTCACTCCATGGGTGGCTAGGGCACTTTATATCTTAGTGTGTAAAAAGTATGTCTGTCCTTTGATAGTATTGCATGTTTCTTTTCCTCAGCTGGAGAGAGATCTCCCTGAAAACAGGTACAATTCATTCAGAAAGTATCTGTCATGTGTCTACCAGCTGCCAGGACCTTGGCTGAGTTACAGGTGGCACAGGGTAGCATAGTCCTTGTCCTCTGTTTGCTCAGTTCTTCCCTGACACTTTCCCTAGCAATTTATCTTTCATGCTGCCAGCAGAGACCTATGTACATAGTTAGGGTCCTTTTACCTCTGGCTGGGGGGGGGGGCAAAATGGGTAGGGACTTTTGTGTTCCCTGGAACATATATGATCTTTTAAACCTGGAGCCCATCTTGGCTCCCAATACACAGTAGGCCTGGCTTCGCTGTAGCAGGGAAAGGCTCTAGACTGTAGCTGGAGGCACAGCCAGCTCTCCATAGAATATGAGACCGTGTTGCCCTTGTGTGGGAATAAGATAACAGCATCCAGAACAAAAGAGCAGGGCTGGAGATATAGTTCAGTAGGTAGAGTGAATGAATGGGCATGAATGAAACCCTGGGCTTTCATCACCAGCACCACATAAACTGGGCATGGTAGAGCACCCCTGTACTACTAGTACTGGGAAATAAGGCTAATAGGAGCAGAAGTGCAAGCTCACTTTTGGCTGTACAGTGTGTTGGAGGCCAACCTGGGCTATACAAGACCTTGTCCAAAAAAAAGATAAAAGAAAATATAAAGAAAGGCAGAAGATTCTGGGGCAATGGCTCAGTAGCTAACAGCACTTGTCACTAAAGCATGAGAATTGGTGGGGCTTTCTGGCTGCCAGACTCTTCCAGGTTCAGTGAGAGACCAACTCTCAAGGGAGTAAGACTGATGGTGACAGAGCAGGGCACTGGCATCGGCCTCTGGCCTCTGGCCTCTGGGTGCATTAGCAAAACTACTTACAACACATTCATAGGCTGCACAGTGGGGCAAGGGACAGACAGACAGACAGACAACACCCTGAGATGGCTCAGCAGGTAAAGCACTTTCCACACAAGTCTGCTGACCTGAGTCTAATCCCCAAAATCTATGGGAAAGTGGGTAAGTTGTCCTCTGACCCTTACATCTGTGTCCCCCTACAATAATAAAAACAAAAATACACCCAGCATCCCACCAACCTCCGGTGGTGATTCTCATTTTCAAATCTTTGTCTATTCCCAAATCTGTGGTTTAGAGTGCTGGGATGTGGGGAAGTTCAAACAATGGAGCCTTGTCCAACAATACAGTAGTCATGGTGGGGATGACAAGTGACTCAGGAATGGGAGGAAGCATGAGCTCCCTGCTCTCTTCACCGCTGCCCTGTGTCCCTGCCTCTCAGCACCTTCTACCTTCTTGGTTGGCCTGCCCCACTCTAAAAACAAGCTGTTTTTCTAGCTCTTGTGTAAATATTGACCTGTTTGGGTTTCAGATGCCTGTCCCTCGAAACTTCTGCTGGGCTAGATAAGCAAATCAGGAGAACCTCTCTTGAGACTGAGTTCCTTTTGGATAGGCAAAAAAGCAACCGACCCCTTTACTAGGTCCTTGCAGTGATCAGCATCCTGATGGCCTCCCAGGCTTCTGGATGCAGGAGGAGGGTGCTGCCCCCTGCCCTCACTCTGGGAGCTTGTGATCTAGCTGTGGAGAGAGGGAGGACTCATGCCTTGGGAATGCCCTGAGGTGGTGTGCAGGGCAGCTGTGATGATCCTGGATGAGGATTCTTGCCTGTGGAGGAGGTTATCCTCTGTGACTACCAGGTCTTTTCCAACACTCGTTCTCTGCTTTTAAGTGGAATTCTGTCAAGTGCCAGAATGTCTGCAGTGAACAATGGGAGATATGGGTTGGCAGGAAGGGGCGGGGGCTGACACTGTGAAAAGGAGATAGAATAGGGATGGGCTGGAAAGGACTAGGCTGAGGAGAGGAATTGGTGGTTTGCTAATCCTCTGGTATTCGCCTTCCTGAATAGACCTGCCCATGATCATAGCACATGGCATCTAGCAGGGCTTTTGCCTCACTTCCTTCCCCTCCCCCTCTTTCCCTTTCATATCCCCCAGATTGAAACTTGTGCCCTTCTCATCCCAACCCTCCAAAACAAAATGGGTTTTTTGGTTAGGTGAAACTGTGCTGCCCAGGCTCAGAAGTCAAAGATTGTCACTTGGATCCCATTGAAAACTATGGATCTCAAACTATGGATCTGGCTGACCAAAAGGCTGGAGGCCAGAGGGTCTCAGGTTCCCAGGAGAAGAGGAAATAGAAGGTGGTCACTGAGGTGGAGAGCTGGTTAGCTCAGAGGCAGAACTGGCCTGACTGGTCAGAGGTCCAAAGAGGGAGAGGTGAGCTGCTCTGTTTGGGAGAGGTGGGGTTCTAGGCAGAGATGCTGATGTGATCTGGTCTCAAATGATCTTTCTAGTCCTGCAGAGTGGATTTTTTTCTTGCTTGGCTCCCTGCTCTTTGCCACTTCTTGGGGTCAGTGGGAAGCCATAGGACAGATGACCACTGGATAGATGCCATCTTGTAGCAGGTGAGCAAAGTGTCTGCTTTGTGGGAAGGTGGAGATCCAGGAAGCTCCCAGTTTGAGGTAGAAGCTAAGATGCTGAAATCCAGAGCAGATGGACAAGGAGCCTGGAAGTCAACTGCTCAGAAGGCAGCCCTTTAACCTGAATAGCTCATGCCTTTACACACAAAGGACGCTATTATTCATCTGCCATACCCAGACATTGTAGAGGAGTGGGGAGTATAGGTCTTTGGTACTGGAGCAGGGCTGGGTGGGGAACTCTTGCATCCTTGACCTTGGGCTTGGTGCTCAGGCAGGGAAAGAATTGGAACGATGCCAGCGGCAGGCGGACGAAGTGACGGAAATCATGCTCACCAATTTCGACAAGGTCCTGGAGCGTGACGGCAAGCTGGCAGAGCTGGAGCAGCGCTCGGACCAGCTCCTGGACATGGTGTGTGGCCACTGGGGATGGGGAGGGACAGGACAAGTTTGACCCTTAGAGGGAGCTCTTAGGTTTTGGTCGGGAGGTTGTAGATGGGGTCTGGGGCCTGCTTGCTTACCAGTGTGGTACTTCTGGTTTCCTGCTAGTGGGTTTCACAAAGATACACTTGGGTTGGGGCTGTAGCTCAGCTGTTGGAACGTTTCCCTAGCACACATGGCCCTGAGTTCACTCTCCACCACAGCATGAAACATCCATCCATGGTCCATCTGTGATGCTGGCACTCAGGGAATCCAGAGCATCAGAAGCTCATTCTTGGTCACACACTAAGTACAAGCAGGAGCTATATGAGACCCTGTGTTACAAACAAATAAACTTACGAAGTCTTTGGAGCTGTGTGCATTCCTAGTGGTCATGGGCTAAGTGGGTGTAAGCTAGCAGGGTTGAGAGTCAAGTGTTACAGTAGTGTTTGAGGTCAGGAGCCAGGCTGGAAGGGTCCCAGAGTACAATGAGTGGAGAGGCAGCAGGATAGGGAGGATGAAGGCATAGGGATGGAGAGCTGGCTGTGGGAATCATTAACTCTCTTTCTCTTGGTGTCTCTGGGTGTCCACAGAGTTCGGCCTTCAGCAAGACAACCAAGACTCTAGCCCAGAAGAAGCGCTGGGAGAATATTCGGTGCCGGATATACTTGGGGCTGGCAGTGGCTGGTGGCCTGCTCATCATCCTGATTGTGCTGCTGGTTGTCTTTCTTCCAACGAGCAATGGGGACAGTAGTAAACCATAGGCCTAGTATGCAAGCACAGCCTTAGGGACTGAGAACTGACCCAGCCAGGCCTGGAGGAGAGGCTGAATGGCTGCACTGGCCTGTTCTGGACAGAGAATCCTGGCGTTTGCTTCTGCCTAGGTCACCCGAGTGAGCGCTGAAGGGCATCCTGGATATGTGCACATCTGTCTCCCATCATGCCATAGACTGGCCCTTGAGGGCAGCCTGCTGCACTGGCCCATCAGCGACACCCCTGGAGCTCAGTAAAAGCTGCTGTTTGGTTAAAAGTGCGCCCCCTCTCGTCCTCTTCTCTCTCTCTCTCATGTGCATGCACATGCACCTGTACACGCCACACACCACAGACAGAACTATAACACACACACACACACTCTAGACACAGAAACATCACACACACACACCACACACACAGAAATATACCACACACCCCACACACACACACACACACACTCTAGACACAGAAACATCACACACACACACACACACACACACACACACACACACACACACTTCAGACACAGAAATATACCAGACACATCCCACAGACACAGAAAGATATTGCATACTATATACACTAAATTAATGTAACCTTAAAAAGAAAAGAGGCTGGGCGGTGGTGGCACACATCTTTAATCCTAGCACTTGGGAGGCAGAGGCAGGTGGATCTCTGTGAGTTCGAGACCAGCCTGGTCTACAAGAGCTAGTTCCAGGACAGCCTCCAAAGCCACAGAGAAACCCTTTCTCTAAAAAAACCAAAATAAATAAATAGAAAAAAAGAAAAGAAAAGAAAAGAAAAGAACACCTGTTGCCCTATCACCGAAGGAGATAGTCCCTTCCTTTACTTTTCCTCCTTGATCTTGCCCTACACAGACAGACCTTTATGTTACATAGGCAGCAGCTCACAAAACAGACCTTTGCACCTATTTCCATTCAAATGAAATCCATCATTTCTGACATTTTGAGGATTCTTAGAGGACCAATGAGACTCTAGATGGGAGAATTAAGAAGAAAGGGCTTGCTGGGAGTCCAGCTCAGTTTTCAGAGTGCTTGCCTAGTATGAACAAAGTCCTGGGTTTGATGATGGCACGGGAGATCTTTAGTCTCGGCACTCAGGAGGCAGAGGCAGGAGGATTACAAGGTCAAGGTCATCCTAGGCTACAGTTAGTTTGAAGCCAGTCTGGGCTATATGAGACCTGGTCTCAAAAGCAAAAAGTTGACTGGAGAGATGACTCAGTGGTTAAGAAGGCATAGTGCTCTTGCAGAGGACCCAAATTTGCAAGTTCAGTTCCCATCTCTCAAGCCAGGCACTTCATAACCACCTATAAATCCAGGTTCAGGGAAAACATCCTCTGTGGGAACCTGCACTTAAGTGTACACACACACACACACACACACACACACACACACAATACATTTAGAAAAATAAGAAACATACAAAAAAGCCAGGTGGTGGTGGTGCATACCTTTAATCCCAGTATTTGGGAGGCAGAGGCAGGCAGATCTTTGTGAGTTTGAGGCCAGCCTGGTCTACACAGTGAGTTCCAGGGCAGTTGGGGCTACACAGAGAAACCCTGCCTGGAAAAACTAAAACAAACAAACAAAAAAACCTGACTCAAAAACAAAGAACAAACAAGAAACATGCAGAAAGATAACCCCATAAAGTGTTTGCCTTGAAAACACAGGGACCTGAGTTACATCCCCAGGACCCATTTTAAAAAGCCAGGTGTATAGTCCAGTGTGATAGCATTAGCCTTGATCTAAGCACTGGGGAAGTAGGGACAGGCAGATCTCCGTGAGACTGAGGTTAGCCTGGTCTACATACTGAGACCCTTTCTCAATAAAACATATAAACATACAAAAAACCCAATATTGTCGCTTTGTTGTACATCCAGAGCTGGGAAGGTAGAGATAAGCAGATCCCAATTTGTGAGCTCCAGGCCAATAAGAGATGCTGTTTTAAAAAACAATGTGAGCTGTTGAGTAAAGACAGTGGAATTGGGGGACTGGAGAGGTGGCTCAGCAGTTAAGAGCATTGATGGTTCTTTCAGAGGACCTGGGTTTCCATTTCCAGCACCCACACGGCAGCTCACAACTGTCTTGTAACTTCAAGATCTGACACCCTCACATAGACACACTTGCAAACAAAATATCAATACACATAAAAATGAATTATTTAAAAAGAAGAGTGTGGAGTTGGGGCTGGGCTGGTATGCTGGTACAGGCCTTGAATCTCAGCACTTGGGAGGCAAAGGCAAGTGGATCTCTGTGAGTTCAAGGCCAGCCTGGTCTACAGGGTAAGTTCCAGGACAGCCAGAATTATTACACAGAGAAACCCTGTCTGGAAAAACCAAAACATGATAATAATGCTTGTCTCTTCTTAATCACTGCTAGTTTCTCAGCTCCAGCTAACCAGCATGGATTGTCCTAGTAGAGCTAAGGTTTCACTACAGTGGTGCAGGTCAGTCTCTTGTTAATCACTGCTGATTCTGTAGCCCTAGCTGACCAGAGCCACAGATTCCTGCTTTGTTTGTTTTTCTCAGGTATTCCTGGCTGTCCGGGAACTCGCTCTGTTGCCCCTGCCTCTGAAGTGCTGGGATTAAAGGTGTGCAGCGATGCCCACCAATGCCACTGCCACTGAAGGGACCAGCTCTGTAAGACCCTCGGAAAGCTCAGGCTTCCAGGATCTCAGCCCAGGACCTCGCTCACCCCAATCATCAGGTGGAGGTGAAAGCTTGATGCAAACTGCACGAGGCTTTATTATAGTTGTTTAACGAGCTAACCCCATGTTAGCTCAGGTCTTTCATCTACCCACCATGGCGGATGGCTAGAAAGACAGCTTGAACGGGCTGCATAGAGATCTTGTAGGGCAGTGTAAGGGGAGTGTCTAGGGGTACGCACAGGCTTAGGATTGGCATGCCTCCAGGATTGGAGAGCTTGCGCTGTGTTGATTGGCCAACTGGTTGTTATGGCCCATAGGCCCTCCCAGGGTGGTTCTCTGCGCGTCATTGCTGTGTGCTTGTCCGTAAAGCACACCCAGATAGCTCCCCGTTTCAGTAGCCATAACAGCCTAGCACGTGCTTGCCTGACCTTGTCTTGGTCACTAGGAGGTCAGATGCCTGCCTTGTGGCAAGGAACCAATCGGAAGTTAGCTGGTAGTGCTGTGCTTTATGGCTCTGGGTGTGCTTTATGGACAAGTGCACAGCAATGACACGCAGAGCATAACAACGGCCCTAGGAGGGCCTATTGGGCCATAACAACCAGTTGACCTATCAACACAGGGCAAACCCTCCAAGCCTGGAGGCACACCAATCCTGAGCCTGTGCGTACCCCTAAACACTCCCCTTACACTGCCCTATAAGATCTCTATGCCGTGGCTTTGCAGCTTCTTTTCCCAGCCATCCACCATGGTGGATGGATGAAAGGCCTGAGCTAACATGAGGTTAGCTCATTAAACAACTGCAATAAAACCTCTTGCTGTTTGCATCAAGCTTTTGCCTCCACCTGGTGATTGAGGTTGTTGAGGTCCTGGGCCAAGATCCTGGGGGCCTGAGCCTCTGTGGGGTCTTTCACCACCACTACTGCCAGCAGGCTACAGATTCTTAATTCAAATATGTCTCACAAAGAGCCCCAACAGAGTCTTTAACAGGCTCTCAAATTTCCCTCCGAAACATCATAAGCCAAGTCTCCATCATCTGCATGGCTGTCAGAACTATCTTTCAAATTCCCACAAGTTCATTAAGTTCTAAGACTTTAATAACTTTTCCAGCCCAGCATTCCGACAGCCTTACCAATCTTCCCCAGAATAATATGTTCAGATCTGTCACAGAAATACCTAAGGCCTAGTGCCAACTTCTGTCTTGTTTGCTTTATTTATTTTTATTTGTTATTTTTATTTTCTTTGTTTTTCTAGACAAGGTTTCTCTGTGTAGCCCAGGAACTTGCTCTGTAGAACAGGCTGGCCTCGAACTCAAAGAGATCCACTCTACCTCTGCCTCCTCTGGAGGGCTGGGATTAAAGGCTTGTGTCACCACCATCTGGCATTGTTTGCTTTCTATTGTGATACAATACCATGACCAAAAGCAATTGGTTGAGAAAAGGGTTTGTTTCAACTTATAATTGTAGTCCATTATGAAGGGAAGTCAGGGCAGAAAATCAGGGGAGGAACTGAGGCAGGAACGGAAACAGAGGCCATGGAAGAACCCTGCTGACTGCCCTTCTCAGCTGGCTTTCTTACAGAGTCCTGGGATGACAATGCCTACAGTGGGCTGGGCCCTTCCACATCAATCATTAATCAAGAAAATGACTTTGTCTCCAGGCTCAAGTGATGGAGGAATTTTCTCAGTTGAGGGTCCTTCTTCCCAGAAGACCCAAGCTTATTCAAGTAAGGGTCAGACAGGCTTATTACTCACTGTCAGAGGCAGTGTCTCCCTAAGACCCCCAAGTTGTCCTCTGAAATTCTTAGATTACAGGTGTATACCAACATGCCTGCTCTAGGAATTTGTTTCCTTCTCTGGATTTATCACCTTCCTTTTCTGAGAAAGATGGAATGTAGCACTTTGCCCTGTTAAGGAGGTCAACAACACTCACTTTGGAAAAGCAGTTTCTGGGACTCAGGTTTCATATATATAAAAGGGCCCAAAGTAATAGGGGTGCAGCTCGGGTAGAGCAGGTGCTTAGCACAGACTCAAGGCTCTGTGACTAAGCCCCCATGAGAAAAAAGAAAAGCAAAGGTACCTCACTACAGTATGACACAATTACAGCGATCAGATATAGGCTCTCTCTCTCTCTCTCTCTCTCTCTCTCTCTCTCTCTCTCTCTCTCTCTCTCTTCTCTCTCTCTCTCTTTCTGAGACAGAGCTTCTCTGTGTAGCTGGCATTCGCTCTGTAGACCAGGCTGGCCTTGAAACTCACAGAAATCTGCCTGCCTCTGCCTCCCGAGCGCTGGGATTAAAGGTGGGCTTTTCTTTTTCTGCATGTCTCTTTTTATCCTATTTAAAACAGGATCTTATTATGCAGCCCATGCTGGTCTTGAACTTGAAATCCTCTGGCTGTCCCCTTTTTTTTTTTTTTTTTTTTTTTTAGGACTTACTTTTATAGCTATGTGTATGTGTGCTTTTGCCAGTCGAATGTAGGTAGCCAGGAGAAGGGGGAAAGAGGGGCTACCTGGAGCTGGAGTTAAAGGTTATAAACTGCCCGACTTGAGATCCTTCCTAACCATGAATGGTTTTGTGTTTCTTCCCCTTTCGTTCTTTGTTTATATTTATTTTATTACATTGATTGATTAAGACAGGGTCACACTTTGTAGCCTTGGTTGCCCTCCCATTCACAGAAATTCGCCTGCCTCTGCTTCCTTGAGTTCTTGGATTAAAGGCATGAAGCACCACGGTTTTTTTGTTTGTTTTGTTTTGAATGTGTGTGGGTGTTTTGCTGCAGGTCTGTCTGTCTTCACTTGGGTGCCTGGTTCCCTGGTACCCGCAAAGAGCGTTGGACCCCCTGGAAATTGTGCCACGGACGGTTGAGCGCCACCCTGTGGGTGCTGTAACTAGAATTTGGGTCAGCTCAGCTATCTTTTCAGCCCTTCCATCCCTTATTTTTATGCCTAAAATATAACAGGTGCGTGGGAATTTTCCTCTCGAAAAGTAGGTGGGGCATGAGGGTAAATTCAACCAACAAGACTCAATGCAAGGACTCGCGGTTGCACTTGCACTTGCACTGCGAGGGCTCCCTGAGCTGGCGCAGGAAAGTCCCCGGAATTTCCTCGGGCTCCTTTGGTCACCTGACTCATCCGACCAACGAGAGGCGGCTGAATCAGTACTTCCGCCTCTGTGTGCGGTCAGCGAGCCACTGTGCCCACCCCACGAATACTCTGATTGGCTCTCCCCTCGAAGCTCTCCCGCTTATTGGCCAGGGCGGACCCGGCTATGCAGCGGCAACCTAGAACTGTGTCAGACAAGCCTAGCAACTCGGCAGCCATGGCGTCTTATTTTGATGAGCACGACTGCGAGCCGTTGAACCCTGAGCGCGAGGCCCGCAACAACATGTTGCTGGAGCTCGCGAGGAGAGTGCGCGGGGCTTGGAGCTGGGCCCCGGGCAGCAGGTTTCTGGGCTGGGGCTTGGCGGAGAGGGCGGGTAACCTAGGAGATGGGATGAATAATATGGAATGTTAGTCTGAGCGACGCGATTATTCAGAGTCGTTAATTTGGGCCATTAATGAGCAAGGCCCGCAGGAGGATCGTGGGAAGGACTGAGCTGGAAAGGGTGGGAGTCGCAGAGGGAGGCACCGGAGAAGCTTGTCATGGGGGCAGACACGGCCTGTGCCCATGTGCTGAAAATGGATAGTATTTTTGCTAGAACAAAGCTAGCACAGAAGCTCACTGCCTCCCTAGAATTAACTTGGCTTTACAGGGTCATTGCTGAACGACTTCCTTGCGACTGCTACTTCAAGAAAAATGGAAATGAGCAGCGAGCTAGGGTTGTCTGATCACATCGCCGTGCTAGTGTTTTTCTTGTGTTGTGTTTTGAGACAGTCTCGCTATGTATTCCTGACTGGCCTGGAACTTAGTACGTAGACAAGGCTGGCCTCGATCCCGCAGCCTCCCAAGTGTTGTGATTAAGGGGGAGGGACACCTCGTCAGGCCTCCACACCACTTTTTTTTTTCTTTTCTGCTGAGTAGTTATGTACTAGTCATTATTACTATTAGCCAGGGCAGGTGTTTCTGTCTGTTAAGTGTCTAGTGGACTATGGAGTCAAAAATGTGTGGTTTCCTTAGTTCTGATTTCACACCCTCTTCCTCAGATCACTCTTTAATAGGATGGACTTTGAGGACTTGGGATTGGTGGATTGGGAACATCACCTGCCTCCACCAGCTGCCAAGGCTGTGGTGGAGAGCCTCCCCAGAACAGTCATCGGTAGCTCCAAGGCTGGTGAGAATACAAGTTCTTTTTTGCTGTTTAGGGCAGATAAGCAAGACCTGCCATCTCCCCCACACTACCGCAATCTGGCCTGTTAGTTTTCTAGGCCAAGTCTGGGTCTGAGTGGGAGGTTGGGGTGGGGCCTTAACAGTTCTCCTGATCAGCACTTCCTCTTCAAGAGCTCAAGTGCCCTGTGTGCCTTTTGGAATTTGAGGAGGAGGAGACTGTCATTGAGATGCCCTGCCGTCACCTCTTCCATTCCAGCTGCATTCTGCCCTGGCTAAGTAAGGTACTTCTTCCAGCCTTGACCCTGCCTCAATACCAGCTCCTGTTTTGTTTTTCTGTTTTTGTTTTTTGGAATGGACTGAGATGAGACTCAAGAAAGGGTGAGAGCAGGGGTGGGAATCAGGAGCAGGAAAGGGCTGGATACTGCTCTGATTTTCCTAGACAAATTCCTGCCCCCTGTGCCGCCATGAGCTGCCCACTGATGATGACAGTTATGAAGAGCACAAGAAAGACAAGGTAGGGGCTAGGGATTTGTGGAGGGGGTACAATGGGCTTGGTCACCCCATCCCTCCACTTCAGCAGGCTTGGACAGGTCTCTTGACCTCCTCACTTTGGCTCCCTTCCAAGTTAGTTTGGTGAGGGGCAAAGTGCTTAGCATTGTTGATGCTAGGAGCCTGAAAACAGGCCCTATGACAGTTGCTCAGTGGCCCTATCCATGAGAATTCAGGCCTGACCCTGCCTAGCCTGTTGTCTTTCTTCCAGGCTCGGAGGCAGCAGCAGCAGCACCGTCTGGAGAATCTCCACGGAGCCATGTACACGTGAGGCAGCGGTTAGGGCTGAGAGCTCAGCCTCTGTGACATCTTCCCCTTTGCACTTTGATCTTCATTAAAGGTTTCTTTACCCGCCCTGCAGCTGCACTGCTCACACGCTGGAACAGGGCTCTGCATCCTCAACCCTGCTGCTAATGAAAAAGATGGCAAAGGTGTCAAATGGCACAAGGTGCCAGACTGCCTTTCTCTCTGCTTGCCTCTAGACTCTGGGTGGTGGGGCCCTGGGAATAGCCAGGGCTTGGGTCTGAGTATTCTCAGTTAGAAGTCAGACTGTGTCGGCCTGGCCCTTTGTAGCTGTTTAAAACTGATAAACTAACTTGCACCACCCCCCTTCCGGAAGACTCTAGTTAACCTTGGAACCTTTAGTTAACATTGGAATCCTGGGGGTGTTCTTTAGTTCCTCTGAGAAAACTTTTAACATTGTAAAAGTTGCTCTCTGCATCCTGTCCCTGTAGGCCCCCATATCAAGGAATCAAAGTTCAAGCCAGACTGGGTAGGGGAAAGAAATGAGACTATAAAGCCAATCCAGTTCTTTAGCCTTTTTAGAGACTCATAAAGGGGACCAAGCCTTGGTGGGGGTTTTGAGAGTGGGTTTCTCTATGTGACCCTGGCTGGCTTGGAACTCGCTGTGTAGACACCAGGCTGCTCCTGGTCTATACAAAACTAAGAGATCCTCCTGTCTGTACCTCCCCAGTGCTGGGATTACTGGTATGTACTATCATTTCCAGACCCTATTGATGTATTTAGATGGCACCTGACACCCTCAAGAATCTTTCCTGGACGAAAGGGCTTCTTTTCATCCCTACCTACTGGATCAGACCCTCTCTGATTCTCCAGAACAGACTGCAAACATGCAAATTAGAATTCTTTTAATAGATATAAAAAAGTACTAAAATACTCATGTGGTTCTGCTGTGTTATTTGCCCTAAAGGAAGTGAGGGGCAGAGTGAAGAACCCAAATGCAGCTGGGTGGGCTTTCCCTTAGGCTAAGGCATGCTCCTCCCATCATCCAGACTTAAGGGTCCCTGCTGCCCCAGCCCCCAATTCCTGCAGCAGGAAACCCCAGTGGTCTGGCTCTGGCACTGGGAGTAGAAGGCACCTGAAGGGCTGGCAGGGCAAGTGAGGACCGGTGACCTTTAACACAAAATACTACTCTGGTCTGGGGGAACAGGACATGTAGCAGAGGCAGCTGGCAAGACCGTCCTCTATGGCACAGGTGGATGTTGGATGGCCACTTCTCCAGGAGTTAGGAAGCCTAGATCCCAACAATACTCTCTAAAAACTGTTTTTGGTACAAAATAAATGCAAAGAAGGTAAAAGGTGTGGGTGCTTCGGAGGCTGGGCCAGCCACCCTCCAGACTCAGATCATGGCAATACTCTCAGGAGCACAGTTGAGGTGGGTAGAGGTGCTGCTGCTCCCAGAGGACTTACAGGCCCTGCCAGGGGCAGGCTGCAGTGCAGCCACCAGTGTGTCTGAGGAGACTGCCCCAAACTCATAGCTGAAGGTGCCGTAGAAAATGAGGATATCGAGGACAAACACCCATTCACACAGGGCAGCCCCATGCTGTAGCTGAGAGCTCTCATGGAGGAAGAAGACTCCACCTGGAGTAGGGTTAAGGAAAGGTTCAGTGGATGTGGGGACTGAGGTAAAGGATCAGACCTCATAACGAGAAGACTACTAGGGCAATAGTCACTGGGCTCAAGATCCCACCCCTAACCCCAACCTGGGAGTGGGGGGGGGGGGGGCTGAGCTAGGGGATGAGTTCCTGGCTACCCTGTTCCAGAAGGATACTAAGGACCAGGGTGATGAAGGCGATGACAGCCAGCACACTCCGAAGGTAGGCCATAGCCAGGTCCAGGGTTGTGGTGGCCCCGTGGTAGAAGAGAACACATTGCAGGCACACAAAGAGCAGCCCAGCGGGGAAGGCCACACCAGCTCCGATGTAGTGTAGAGACTTGGCATGGTCCACCTGGTCCAGACAGGGGCTATTCCATAAAGTAGCCCCACCTTTCTGCCCAATCCATCACTTCTCTCTCCCTCCTCAGCCCTCCCTTCCTTGATCAGTCTCCAGGAATTGCCCCTACAGGCAGTCAGACCCTGTTAAGGGGAGGTGGGTGGGAGGCACCTGAAAGTTGCCAACCACCACAAGGCCAGCAGCATTGGTGCAGCCTGTGATGAGTGCTGTGGTGTTGATCCAGGAGTGCCGGCTCTGCTCCAGGAGTTGCCCATACCGAAGAAGGCAGATCAGGGCCACTAGGGGAAGACAGTCATGCTGGGGCCAGTTCTCTGCCTTCCTCCAACTTTGCCTTCCCAGCCTGCCCTCCAGCTTCCTGCATGCTCAGGCACTCCAGCCTCTTTCTGAGAGCTACAAGGTTGTGGAGTAGGTAGAACTGTTTTTGTGTCATTCCCCAAAGTCCCAGGCTTTCACCCAGGGCAGCTGTGTGAAGATTAGTTAGCATCTGCCCGTCAATGAACTGGAGAGAAGCTGCCCCTCTTACCAGCCCTTAGTGATGGGGCAGGCTGTGCAGAGTAAACGTTTCTGGGCTTCTCTGGAGATGAGGGGAGGGTCTGATGGTGTCACTCACCCATAAAAGCACCCATGTTGCCAATGAGGCTGAAGAGGCAGCTCTCTGGGGGATATGTTCCACACTTGCTGAGGGGAGGGGTGAGGACAGTGAGGCAGAGGTAACCTGTGGCCCTCTATACCCCTCCAGCCCCCCTGGGGGCCCTATCTGTGCTTGGTCCTTCAGTAGGCAAGCTTCTGATTTAAATAGAGCTCATGTATAAGAGAGATAAAGAGGTTCCCTACAGTGCCCAACAGATCTGAGGCACCTTGCTGAGGCCTGCAGCTGGTCTGGATTTCCTTGAACTTGTGTTGGGCACTCAGAAGTGCTGACTTTAAATCTGGGTACTTTCATTGGCTGGCTGTGTGACTTAAGTGAGTATCCCCAAGCCTGTTTCCACATCAAAAGTGGTGAAAGGAACAGAAGCTAACCTGAAGGAAGGATTAAAAGGCACTACTGGCATATAAAACTCAGCAGGATGCCCAGCTCCTAGAAATGGCAAGTAGTGCATTTATTTCTTTGAAATAGGGTCTTGCATTGCTCAGGCCAGCCAAAACTAGCTGGGGATGACCTTGAACTTCTGATCTCTTGCCTCATTCTCTAGAGTGCTGGGATTGCAGGCATGTGCTACCACATTTAGTTTTATGTGTTACTGGGCTTTGTGTGTGCCATACAAGTATTCTGCCAACTGAGCTACATGCCCAATGCCCAGGCTCCCCCATCTCTTTTCTTCACTGAGACAGGGTCTCACTCACATAGCACAGGCAGACCTTGAATTCATCTTCCTACTTCTGTTTCCCAAGTGCTAGGATTATAGCTTTTGCCACTAGCCTTGGCAGTATTAACTGGCTCAGTATGTTTCTTCTTGAGATCCAGGGACAGTCTTTTGCTTTGAGAGGGTTTCTGGAAATCTGGAGGGACCTGGGTCTGCCCAGTTTCCAGGACCTACCTGATGAGGGGAACATCATCAAGGGTACAGCAGGTCTTGGGGCCCCCTTGTTCAGCAGGGTCAGGAGAGCAGGACTCATTGTAGGACCTGGCAGGTAGGATATGGGTAGATTGGGGGAAGGAGTATCTCAAAACCTTGGCCTGTAGCCTTAAGGTTTCAAAGAGAAATCTTTCAGACCTCCCCAGGCCTTCATGAAGCAGAAGCAAAGAGGATGAAGGGATGATGGGAAGTGGGTGGTTGGACAGGACATCATGCGTGGAGATCAATGTCAGAGAACAGCAACGAAGCCTATGGGCTCCATCTAGCTTGTGGGATCAGAGAGGGACAGATAAAGGGAGCTTTAGAGCGAGGCCATCTGCAGAGAACTCCATACCAATTCTCCACTGGACACACGTGGCGGTTCATCACGGCCATGGCATACCTGTGAAAGCAGACTGTCACCTTGTCCCCATGTCTCTTCAGGCCCAGCCACCCCCTACTGGCTCTTTGACTTTTGGCCTACTTCAGCCTCACTGTCCATGTTGTCATTCAATGGGGTGAGGAGGTGGGTATCGATGCTATAGCAGACCCTGCACAATTGCTTCCAACCAAAGACCCTCCGCAAGTTGCCCTGCCTAGAAGTATATGTTGGAGCCTGTCTTGCTGGACTGCAGTGGTGCCAGCTTGTCTCAAGAGGCTGTGTGCCCAGGAATCAGGCCAAGCTTTGGAGACGGGCAGAATGACCCTGGGTACCTACCATTCTGGAGCCTACAAACAGGTCAACAGACTTTGTGTGCCACCAAGCTCCTGTTAGGCCCCCCTCAACCCACACCCTCTTACTCACACTGTCCATATGCCCGTGATGGAGAATGCTGACAGGCTGACAGGAAGGAGGATCCAGGCGGTCATGAGGGAGTGGAGCCAGGGTGGTGGTAGTTTGGGGGTAAGGACAACAGGTAGGTAGGGAAGAGGGGGCAGGCCCAGCTACCTTGAGATATTTCAGCCACAATCATCAGCTGCCCTGGCCTGGTGGGGGAGAGAGATCAAGCTCCAGGCTCTGCTGCCTGGCCAGGGCGGGGGAGGGGGGAG